AGTAAGCAGTAATATGTAGTTGGAAGTCCCAGGTTGCTGATCTGACTTTCTGCCTCATTTATACACAATTGCAGGGTCTCAATTGTCTCTCTGACTTTGACAACACAACACAACATACATATATCGTTTCTCACTATTAATCTCTTTTTTTATGGTCCTTTATTATTATTATTATAATTATTATTATTTTATTATTATTTTATTATATTTTTATTTAATACTTTTTTATAATTGTTTATTATTTTTCATTAATTATTATTATTATTATTATTATTATTATTATTATTATTATTATTATTATTATTATTATTATTATTATAATATTTTCGCCCCCAGGCCCTGATGTGGGTCATTGACCTGTGCCCTGGTGGGCTAATCCCGCAAAAAAAGAGAGTTTTAAACCTTCTTGGGACGAAATATACTGCCTTACGATGCAGTATATGGTAGTGGCGGCGTTGAGGAAGGGAGAGTGACATGGCCAAGAAGAGGCAGTATTGCTCGTTGATGAACACGTCACTTGGGTCATCCCTCACCATGGTAGTCTTTATTACCAGAAAATTTGCTCACTGTCCCGAGTTAGAGTATTCGTGGGTGGCTTCCCTCTTGGCACTGTCGGACAAGAATGTGGCCACCATTGTTCAGTGGCACTGTTGAGAGGCATTGTGGCTGGTACTGATGAGTGGCACCGTTGAGACACACTCTGGCTAGCATCGTTGTTAGCACTGTTGGGTGGCACTCTGGCTGGCATTATTGGGCAGTACTGTACTGTATGTCGGCACTCCTGAAAAATACTGTTAGGTGGCACTGTTGAGAGGCATTGTTGGGTGGGGTGGCACTGTTGAGCGGTAGTGTTGGGTGGCACTGTGCCCGCAGCCTGGCAACACGTCATTGTGATGATATACGAGTCATTTATACTACCCGGAGATAAAGGGGAGGGAATTTGCAGCATCCCGTCTCTCTCTCTCTCTCTCAATATTCCTCCCCCTCCCTCTCCTCCACTCTCTCCCTCTTCCCTCCCCAGCCTCTTTCCGTCTTCCTCCTCTCGTTTTCCCACTTCCTCTCTTCTATGCCACATCCTTTCCTCTTCCACCTTCCCCCTTTCACCCTCTCCTTCCCACCCTATTCCTCCCAATCCCTCCCTTCTTACTCCCCCACCTCTCCCTTCCAGCTTTTCCTTTCATCCTTTCCTTTCTTATTCTCTCCCACCTTCTCCCTCCCGCCTCTTCCTCCCATCTTTCCCCCCTCCTCTCTTCCATCCTCTTTCTCCCACTCTGTACTTCCCATCCTCTCTCTCCCATCCTCTCCCTTCTCCCTCGCCCTCCCATCTCCTTCCTTCTTACTCTCCCTCTCTCTTCTCTTGCCTGAAATATGACGGACGGGGCCAAGATGAGAGATACGGCCTAATGGACCGCCGCTGGCCCGTTAAACACCCAAATCCACGCGTATGAGGGCATGGAGGACGCTGATTGGTCCGTCTATTATCACGACGTCTTTCTGAGATTCTCGTGGACCAGCTGGCCTCGCAGGGATACTGGTGAACCAGCTGGCCTCGCAGGGATACTGGTGAACCAGCTGGCCTTGCAGGGATGCTGGTGAACCAGCTGGCCTCGCAGGGATACTGGTGAACCAGCTGGCCTTGCAGGGATGCTGGTGAACCAGCTGGCCTCGCAGGGATAATGGTGGACTAGCTGGCCTCGTAATGATATACGTACAGTTGGTAGGACTCTAGCAGGACATTACTGTGCCCTCGTCAGCCAGGGGACTGTGGAACGTGTGTGTGCAGTGTTGTAATTGGTGCGCCACCCAGCCATTATTGCTCACTTATACTTACATACCTACACTACGTACTTAATGAACGTGTGTATGGGAGTACTTAAGCTGACAGGCGTGCATGTACACACACACACACACACACACACACACACACAGGAATGATGGACTTCTTTAGGTAAGTGTAGATCGAATACATTATATACTCTCTCTCTCTCTCTCTCTCTCTCTCTCTCTCTCAATAACTTGGAGCCGGGGCGGAGTGAGAGCAACTTTCTTGACACTAATGAGCAATATATTGTCTCTAGCTACCTCTTTAGCGCAGGACAGGAAGGTAGGGAAGGGGTGGAGAGAAGCGAAAAAGAGAGAGAAGGGGGACGAGGGGGAAGGTAGAGAGACGGGAAAAGAAAGCGAGAGGGGGAAGAGAGAGAGAGAGAAAGGAGAAAAAAATAAGGATTGGAAAGTCTAGAGAGAGAGAGAGAGAGAGAGAGAGAGGCAAAAAGATATATGAGAGGGAAGGAAAGGGAGAGATAGAGAGATGACCTTAGAAGTCCCGAGATAAATGTGGTAATACTGCACAGTCGGACTTGATTTCCGAGAAGTCCAAAGGCCAAGGGTGAGCTTTCATGAAGAGTCCGGTAAGCAAATTGGACGTAACATTGGACTTTTACTGTGTTAGCTGTGGGCAATAACGTGATGACACAACCAGTCCGACACGTCCCTTGAGTCAACTGGGACTTTTGTACACAAGACCAATATTGGACTCACATGAAATTCGACAGGTCCGATGATAAGTGTCCCCGGTCATCTTGAACCTAAAAGGACTTAATTTCAAGTCCGAAGTCAATAATAATGCCCATAATGGACTTGTAGATAATACTTGAAATTTCCAAAGACAAAAGTTACAACCGATTCTATTTCTTTATTCTATACATAAAAGAAATTAATTATCTAAAACCTCTGTAGTTACTTAATGGTCTTCTAATGGTCACGATATACAGTATACAGGTTAACGTGACTCAATGGAGGTTGAGAGCTCGTTGCTTACGGAGAGTAATGGTGCTCAGACCCCCGCTTGTGGCGTTTATTAATGGTGTTTAATGTCAACTACCTGAACGAAAAAGGTTATTCTTTGATCAAACCCATTAGGGATACATACTAATGGATTTTACTCTTGCAACCATTAGTGCGGCAGATAAATGGGTTCAAATATCCTCTCACTACAAAAAAAATATGAATTTGAACCCTATTTAGAGATATATACTGAAAGAAGGTCCCACAGGCCAGACGATCAGCTAGGAGCAGTGTGGATACAGCACACTGTACACTAAGCCTATTTTCGGTACTCGGGGAAGCAGCGTGGCCGGTACTTCACTTTACCGCATATAAATTCTCCAACTCTAAAGCTTGGTACCAATTCACAGCTGGGTGAATTGAGGCTATTCTAGGCTGGTAATAGTGACACCTGGTACAAGAAGGCAGCTGGTCCCAGGGGCAGTGCTCAGGGGAGAGCGGGTATCAAGGGACAGCTGGTATCAAGGGACAGCTGGTATCAAGGGACAGCTGGCATCAAGGGTAATGTTTTAGTCAAGGGACAGCTGGTATCAAGGGACAGCTGGTATCAAGGGACAGATGGTATCAAGGGTAATGTTTTAGTCAAGGGACAGATGGTATCAAGGGTAATGTCTTAGTCAAGGGACAGCTGGTATTTTTGTAAATATTAAAAGACCTCTTTCATGTTCTCTCTTCATTCGGGATTGTGGACTATATATTGATGTGTTATTAGTAGTTGTAGTGTTATGATTATTATTGTTGTTAGTAGTATTAGTTGTAATACTAGTACAATCTTTATTATTAATATTGTTTTAATGGTTGCCTCTCGTGTTCGAGGGCGGCTGGCCCTAAGATGTAGAAGCTGTCGCCAACACAACAACCACGCCACATGTTAACGAGATGTATGACCCAGTGTCAAGGAATAATCCAAGAAGACCGGACAACTCGCCAACTGCACTGGCTAACCAATACCCCGAAACACCATCCACAATTTCACCACAGATCTATTAATATTTACATTATTATCAACATTTAGGGAAGGTTGGACATAAAACTCTACGGACTTGGCGCCTCTCTCTACAATATCGAGTTCCCCGAGGACACCCTCCTCCCTCTCTTCCCAATATAACAAATGTCTCTAACTTTCAACCTCCTTCTTTTTCTACCTCACTTCCCCCTTTTTAATATTTTTTGTCCTTTTCCTGTCTTCCTCCATCTTCAGTTCGGACTTATACATCTACCCTCCTTTATTGTACGTAAACGTTTAAAGGTCTGTGCATTGGTTCAAAACTAGGCTAATAGTCACATTGCAAACGTCTTTTGACTGACACTCACTCACACACACCAAAATAAGATGGTGCCAGCGTTGAACCCAACAAGTGGCCTCTTAATAGCTCAGTGGCTATGAATTACATTTTGCTTAACTCAGGAAAACTTAAATGAGACTGACTGTGGTTGGAGGTTTTGTCGTGAGCTGATATTCAAAGTGCCATACAACCAGAATTTTCGAGGGGAAATGTTTTTAAGCCTCCTCTGAAATACTGAAAAACTGTTTTCTATGAACCAAGGAAGAGTATTATAGAAAATGATAATATTTGAAGGATTGATACCTTAAAATGAATAACAGTGTTAACTGAGAAAAAATGTACAGTACTTAAGTTAATTGTCATTATTGTAGACAGACTTCAGTAGTAGTAGTAGTAGTAGTAGTAGTAGTAGTAAGTCTTATTAAGTAGCATATTCACTACTTACAAAAACAAGGGGATTATATGCACCTGGTCACACCATTCAATGACTTACTTTAATCACACATGATATGAAGGTTAATAGGGGATTAACCGTAAGTCGCCCTGACCTGACCTGACCTGCCTGTGTGTGTTGGTGCGGCCATTCTATAAGCAGATTAAGTATTTTATTAATTTTCCTTTACCGTCATCAAACTGACTTGCATAGTGTTTATCAATCCTTAAGTTAAATTATTATAGGACTGTTTCCCTATTAATATATAGAACTCATAACTGGTTGATATCTAAAGGAAACTGACATCGCTTTTTGCCTGTCCATAATCTGGTTCACTATAGTATTTTATAATTAATCTTATTAATAATTTTTGTTTATTCAGTCAATAGGGAAAAAATAATACCAAGATATAAGGAAATATAATTTAATGGTAACAAAATACAAAAATATATATTCATTTACAATTCAGTTCAATTTTCCACACAACAAAAACACCTTTTAGATTAATTTAGCAGCCAGTCATTCTCTCACACCACCTTACGACCACACCCACACATTAGCACCACACAGTTGAGACATAATAGTCGTAGAAAACTGAAAACTAAGAAGGGATGCAATTAATAAACTGTGTTGGATAAAAATTAGACAAAAAAATAAACTGTATGAATTAGTATATAAACACTGCCATAAAATTACAGTTTGAAAGATGGGAAAAATCTTTAAACGATAAGTTAATTAAAGACTCTGAAGGTAAATTTAAACAGTCTTAATTATATTCCAGGTGATGATAGATAAAAATTTCTAAACTGGTTGATTACAAAAGATTGTTAGGTACTTTATTAACAAGATATATGCATAATACTTTATATACTTTGATCATTGTAAAGCAAGAAATTGACCTAAGAATTGTGTTTTTTTTTTTGTTTTTTTTACTGTATCACTCTTTTATCAACGGGACACTTACGTATACAATGAGGTACTTCCGTCATGGACCAGTTGCCTTGATCACAGGTGGATGTTAGGACCGTCTCCCCCGTAGTGAAGTTCTCCCGACAGTAGTAATAGACAAGCGTCCCCCACACCCGGACCCCGGTATAGTTGTACATTGTGAGGTAAGGCGGATCAGGTGGCTGGGATGGGCAGGCTGTGGGGAGGGTGATAGGTAAGGTGGTGGGAAGGTCTGAATGGCTCTCTCTTCATTTTCTAACATAAGATAAGAAATTTTCACCCTACACAAAGTTTTTTTTGTATATTCAGTACATGGACATCTCACCTTGTACTCTAAAACAGAATAAACCTCTCATAATCGGATCACCTGAAGATTAACCGGATGACGTGAAGATTAACTTCCTTAACATTTTTTTTTTACCTGAATACTAACCACCCTAATCTAACCTAATACTTGGAGGCGTTATGGCGGTTAATCTTCTGGTGAAATAAAGTTGGGGGAGGGGGGAAATCCACAGGTAATAATAGCCATGCAGTAATGCTACCAAGGGGAGCAGCGACCGAGAGGATACAGTTTTAGCTAACAGTCCACCCAGCTGTAAAGGAGTAGATGACTTCACAGTTTGGGATGTGAAGGCGGGAGAGTGCAGTGTCGGCCACGCTACCTCCTTGCTTACCACAGGTTTAGTACAGTGTGCTGTATCCACATTGTCCCTAAAGGCCGTATCACACGGGCTGCCTAAGCCTGAGCATATTACTCTGGCAAGCTTTGTCCACTCCTGGACCAAACTCAGAGTCAACAGAAATCTCTTTTAACAGCTATTTTAAAAATTAATTATTCATTTTAAATGAGTTTATACTATTAGTTTGTGTATTACAAATAATGTCTGAATTGACTTCCTGTTTGTTTACAACTTTACCTCTGTACATCAATGGCTCTTCAAATTATTATATGGGCCAGGAAGGCTGAGGTTACATGAATAGAAAAAGTGAGACTAATGTCAGCTCCCTGGGATAATAAAGAGAGCAATAACTAGCACACCATTGCTAGCGTGGCCCTCTCCTTGCTGTTCGTGACCATGCTTGGACACGGGAACGCCGACTGTGCTTTGTCAACCAGGGGCACGGTGTAGTCTGTTCTGGGAAGTCTGCTCCCCTATCTCCACTTTCATTCTGAGCAACTAATCCCCAGACATAAGTCAGACCACCTGATCTAGATTAACATACTTACTTGGCATACACTTAAACTCGGGGTCCAGATCCTGCCAGTGTGTATCGTTGAGACACACAAGCTCCTCCTCTGAGACCCCCGTTGGCGAGGCCATGGTCCCGTCGCATTTGTAGATGACTGAGTGACCCATCCACATTGGCTGCTCCTTCCCGATCAACGAGCAATTTGCCGGTGGCTCCTGGGGTAGTGGTGGGCACTCTGAGGGAGGGGAGGGGTTAAGGTTAAGAGCTGATTTGTAGGAGGAGATGGATGAGTGTTGCAGGAAGTGGATGAGTGTTGTAAGAGGTGGATGAGTGTTGTAAGTTGACTACGGCAGACATGTAGAAAGATAGATGGAACAGTGTGTAAAAGTAAAACATAAAAATATACATATATACTTATACTCGTAAATATAAATAATGAACACAGTAAGGTGAGGGTTATGACCATATCTGCAGGTGAGGATATCTGGGTTCACGTTGGTCCAGTTCCCGCTCTCCTCACAGGTCACGGTCACGAAGGTGTTGAGGTCAGCGAGCTTCATCCCATCAACACACCCGAGTTCCACCTGTCAGTCGAGAATCATAGCATTACTAATGATAATGATATGCATAATGATGTTGACAATAATGATTTTACTACTTTTAATATTGATTATGATAATGATATAGATTATACAAATATCGATAATGATAATACAAATAATAATAATAACAATAACAACAAGATAAACTGAACAACAACAACAAGAATCATTCACCTGTTGACCCACACTCCCAGGTGGACCACAGGTGTGTTAGCCAAAATCACAGGTGGTTTTTGTTGACTTACCTGAGTGCCCCAAGTCCTGCTGGCTCCGTTCCAGGAGGATTCACCTGGTGCCTCTATTCTTGGAGGGTCCACGTTGCACACTATGAGCAGGGGGAGATGGGGTTAAGGGAAATCAATAACCATGGAAACAGGAAAGAATAAAGGAGAGAGAGAGAAGGAGGGGGGGTGGAGAACGAAGTAAGCATTGGTAACTTCACCGTGTACCGCCTCGTTGTTGTTCCAGGGCATGAAGGAACTATCGACAGTTTCCTTTGCGTCATTGGATTCTGTCTACCTGGTGTCACGGGATATTTTCTCCTCTGATATAACTGTCCCTCAAATGACACTATTAAAAGAATATTATTTATATTCTCTTCAATAAATGTCATCATAAGATATGTCCTTGTTATTTAAAGTCAGTAAATAGATTATTAAATTTGAAAAGATTTGTCACTGATAGCTATTCAAAATTTTACCTCCAGGCTTAAAATTCTTGGCATACATGTAAAATTACTTTCGCTGGTTCTTGGACAAGTTATAGATATTTTCCTATCCTTCTGTGCAAATGATAAATACTGTAATGGGGAAGAAACATCAAGGGTTGTATGAACGGTCGCACATAGCGGACCTGGGCTGGGTGTAAATTAATCATCACACCGTGTTGTTGAGTGATCCTCCTGAGCTACCCCCTCAACACCGAGACACACACACACACACACACACACACACATACCCTACTACTACTACTACTTTTCTGTCACTCGGCATCGAGTGTGTTGAGATCGTGGCAACTTCTACATTTTAAACGAATTCTTACCTTAGTGACCTTAGACTGGCCATTCTCGGTCACCTGTACCTGCCCCGATGACTGTTAATTAGTGTGGTGGAGGTGGACGTACCATTGTAACAGGCAGCATAGTTTGGGTCAATCTCGAACCAGCCGGAATCAACCAAGCATTTGAAGGTGGCGTAAGTAGCGCCCGTGGGTGCCTCCTGTCCCTCCACGCATTTAAACGTCACTGAGTCATTGACCCAGTAGGGGGGTTGAGCCCCCTCTATGATAGAGTTGGTGGGCTGTGGCGGCAGCGTCTGAGTCGGACAAACTGTAAGAGGTGAGAGTGGGGCGAGGTGAGCTCTTACATCTTGTAAAGTTGACTAAGTCTCGTGTAACTGCGTCAGCCACGTCCTCCATAAATCACTAAAAATGTTATGGAAAGATCGTATCGATTAATGCAACATTTTGTCAACATGTCAGAAAATTTTAATTAGTGATGGTGGTCTTATTATTATAAACAAAATATAATATACATCACAGGGTTTTGATAGGGTACATTTACCCTACAGATGTACAGAGCAGAAGAGAAAGGCAACAGAAGAAATAAGAACGTGACGAGGGCTGTGCGGAAGTCGATCTTTCAACATGTATATCTTTGATCTATTACCAACGACGTCACTGTAATACATCCATTCCTTATTTGTTGATCACAGTAACTTATTAATAACTGAATACCATCATCCTTTGATAGTTACGTCACCTTAAATTAGAAATAACTGTTTGCAGACAAAACACATTAAGTGGATCCTAAAATATAGACCAATCAGGATGTGAGGAGAGAACCACGAAGGAGGAGTACCTACGTTTCCTACAGGTGAGGAGGGAGGTGTCGATAGTAGTCCATGTAAGGTCGTCCTCACAGGTCAAGGTAAAAGTTGTGTTTAGATCACTGAACACATAATCATCAGGGCAAGAGACCGTTACCTGCGGAGACAGACGATCATTAGCGGGCTCCTGTACCTCAAACCTGAGACAAACACGTAACATATTTCTCTCTCTCCCTTTCTCTCACTCTACTTATTACCCCCCCTCTCTCTCTCTCTCATCTACTTCAACATTCAGTTAATCGTCCACTGTTCCAATCACTGAGACTTACACTCCTGGGCGACTAAATCACCACCACCTCTCCTCCTTATCTTCTCCATTTAAATTATTATCATTCATATCCTTCTACTTCCCTTCTCTGGATATTTTCATCACTTAGCTTTCATCCACATTGATTATATCTCTGCTCTTCTAGCCTTTCACACTCAATCAATAAACAAGTTAACATTTTATATTATGATTTCAGTGAAACCTTCATTTGCTCTTACCCTCCGAGGCTCTATTGACTTTACTCCCTTCACTTTCCCCCGCTCATTGGGCGGTCATCTAAGCTCCTCTCATTTATTGTCTGTTTAATTACTGCTTTCTTATCATCCTCACTGCTGCTATGTATGATCAAACACTCAAGGGCAGATTGTAGTTGAGTGAGAGGTGAGGTTGTTGTATCCTTATGCTTATGATGATAATAATATTATTATTATAATTACTGAGAAGAAGAAACATTCCCCTGACGACCCATAATCCCAGGCATACCACAGGTGTGCTCACAAAAATCACACCTAAACTTTGTTGACTTACCTGAGTGCTCACGATTCTGGTGACTTGGTTCCACGTGGAGTTGCCTGGCTCTGCTATTGTAGGAGGGTCTGCACTACACACTGTGGAGAGACAGGAGAAATAAGAGGAAGAAAGGGAGAAGGATCAAAACAAAAGAGAATTAAAAAAAATTTGTAACTTTCTTTCATAGAACTGAGTACCTATAACTACATCATTCTCAGTACTTATGAAAAATACCGGTACGTCTTTTCTGAGTACTTATAATAACTATGTCCTTTCTGAGTACTGAGAATAACTACCCCTTCTCTGAGTACCTACAACTACGTCTTCTGTAACTATGAACCTTGTAAATAATTTAGTCCTTTCTGAGTACTTCTAACTACGAAATTGTTCTAGTGTCTGTAACTACGTACCATTGTAGCAAGCAAAGTTTGGGTCAAGGGCGGACCATCCAGTGGTAGTGGAGCAGTTGATCCAGACAGCTGTTAGACTCATTTCGGATTCTTGACCCGGGCCACACATGAAGGTCACGTTGTCCCCGACCCAGTATGGATATTCACCCCCCATTTGAATGGAGTTAGCAGGCACCGTCGGGAAGGTTCCATTGCATGCTGTAAAAGTGAGTGAGTGAGGCTGAAGGAAGGGATTGCGAGGGTGAAGTAATAAGATGTGAGACTGGGAGAGTCTGTGAAAGGCAACGACACTGACCAGTGGTGAAGGGAGGAGCGACAAGGCTTCTGGTGACGAAGGCCAAAATAGCTAAGTGTTCAAACTCTTTTAGTCCTTTGGAGGACGAAATTAATGGTAAAACAGTTAAGGATAATGCGACATGAAAACTTCAGTTGTTGGTGATTCGCAGGTAAGGTACTTGGATCCTGCCTTTTGTACTACAGAATGGATATCGAATCCTTGGAAAGCATTCGGGGGAGGATGACAAGGCTAATCCCGGGCATTAGAAACCTTGAGTATAGATGAGTGGAACAAGTTACCATCATTAACTCGAACACGCTGGGTAGCTTCAAATATAGGTTAGATGTATATATGAGCGATAGTGGTTGGGTGTAACGGGGCTGACTAATATGGGCCAATAGGCCTGCTGAAGTTTCCTTATTATGTTCTTATGTGTGAATGAGTGAGTGAGGAAGAGAGTAAATGAGTGTGTGTGAATGAACGTGTGAGCGAGTGAAACTGGCCTCGATACCGCCTTCAATTCTTCAACCATAAAATTAGTTGCAGCTGAGTGAACTTGGGGTGCGAACCAGCTACCCTTAGGACAAGATACAAATTCTTTACCCATTCGGCCACCGCATCTTCATATAGTAATGCAGTAACTCAGGCTCAAGGAAAGACCCCGTTGAATGTAATATGAAATCACCACGAGGAGGAAGTGCCTACTTAGCCAACAGACGGGGAGAATGGTACTTACTTTCTCTGCAGACGAGGAGAGAGGGGTCGGTGTAGGTCCAGTTACCATTATCCTCACAAGTCAATGTAATGACGGTGGACAGGTTCCCGAAGGCGTAGTTGGGGGGACAGGAAAGCTCCACCTGGAAGAGAGACAGTGTTTGACGGGCTCCTGTCTCTAGCAATCTATCTAGCTATGTATCTATCTATCTCAGTCTTCCTGTCTGCCTGGCTATTGTAACTATTATGGATATCCCTCATGTAACGAGGATGGCCGGCCACCTAGGCGTGAATTTGTTTAAGGCGTAGAAGCTGTCGCCAACACAACAACCACACCCTGAGTTAACGAGTTGCATGACCCAGTGTCAAGGAATAGTCCGAGAAGACTGGACACCTCGCCAACTGCACTGGCTAACCCTTACCCCAGGACACGAACCGCAAGTCGATTAACATCCAGGCCTCAAATTACTGTTGGGTAGCCAGAGACAAATGACGTAAAGAAACTTGCCCATAGATTCACCCTGTCCGAGGATCGAACTCGGGTTCGCTCGCTTGCAAGGTGAAAATGCTGATCATTACACCATAGTGTGTGTGTGTGTGTGTGTGTGTAACAACCCACCGTAGAGCCTTTAGTCCTGGTGAAACCGTCCCAATTGGAGCTGCCTGGAGCCGACACGTTCATCGGATCATCAACACACACTGGGGAAAAACGAAGAAATCACATTATTCAAAAACTTTATATATGGCAGCCTATATGACAGCCTTTGGTAGTCTCTCTTACGGCGGCGTCACGTGAACACCTCAACAACCAACGTTTCAAACCGGTTAAGCAAATCCGGCAATAGAACAGGTAATTCCAACTAGCATTCCCGATGTCTCTCAATTCCTACACGTCGGTCTTCACTAACTCGAACGTGACATCACTTAAGAGAAGATTTATTAATATATTTGAATTAAAAATACAGTACCGTTTTTTTAATAGGTATTATTAGTAAACTATAATACAGTAATACCATAATACCGCCTTTAGCTCTCATTATAGTCCAGTTTAGCTGTTTACATCTTGATATGCTCTGTTTATAGCTTGGTATGACTCAGTGTAACCTCTGCCACGACCGTTTAATATAATCTAAACCGAGCATTGTCAATTTAGCCTTTGCCTCTTGATTTTAACCCAATGCAATCTGTTTATAGCTGACTATAGCATTGCATAGCTTCGTTGTAATAGCCAAGCTCTTTGCGTCTTCTTTTTAGCTTAGTTTGGTCACCTGTAGGTCATTAATAGCTTAATATAACTGATAGAACCTAAGTATTCTTGGTTGTAAACTGCTAAAGTCTCTCTCTCTCTCTCTCTCTCTCTCTCTCTCTCTCTCTCTCTCTCTCTCTCTCTCTCCTCAGTAGACTTACATAACAAACAGTCGATACTTTCCGCAAGTGTCCAGGTGTGGTCGTCAGCACAGGTCACATTCCAGGAGTTAATTAATTCCTGGCCGGCCTGTACAGATGAGAGAAAGAGACAAATGTAAATAACGAAGTATGTAAAAGGGGAGAGAAGACTCATAAAGACACCTTATTTAGAGTAGTAGTAGTAGTAGTGGTAGGAGAGGGTGGTAATAGAAGAAGTGGTGGTGGTGGTGGTACTTACAACAGTAGGCTCGATGTAGTGGGTTTCGTTGCATGTATAAGTAATGTTGGTTCCCAGGGCGTAGGTATCTGGTGTGGTACTCTGCTGGTTCAGTCCTAAGGCGGGCGGAGCACTGACACATCCTGGAGGAAAAGAAAAGGGGGGGGAGAGGTGAATTAATGATTGTGTGGGATAAAGGTGATATCTCTCTCTCTCTCTCTCTCTCTCTCTCTCTCTCTCTCTCTCGACTCACCTTCGTAGCAACTAGCATTCTCCCAACCCGTATCGTTGCAGTAGAGAAGAACATTCACCTCGCCTATGTCGTACATGTGATTGGCAATACAATCCATCTGTAGAAAATCGCCCACCTCGTAATCAGTTGCCGGGAGTTTAGTGACTGTGCCATTCTCGTGGTGAGGCAGCCCAAGGCAAACTGTGGGAGAGAGTTAGCACTGGGTGAGAGAGGGGGGGGGGTCTGTACCTGGTGCAAGTGTAGGATAGATATGAGACTGTTAGAGCTTTAAAAATGAGAGAGAGGAGGTGTAAGAGTGGTGAGTTTTGACGTCAGAAGTTTCAGGTAGTGGAAGAATGTGAAATAAGAGCTGTAGAAAGCCTTTTTAAGCTGAAAAGGGCTTTGACAAAGAAGAAACAGAGTAAAGCAAAGAAGAACACGAAGTGGGCAACAATATGTAGAATTCGATGATGAAATGAGTAATTATTTCGCTTTCCAGACCGACTTTGGGAAATAGATAACAAACGACACTACAGATCACCAAAACAAACATGAATAAATTGTTTCGTACAAAACCTAACCTAACATAACATAGGATCTCTTATGAGGGTAAACGACGTCTTAAATGAAACAGCAAATTTTACCATATACGAATTATCTTCTATTAACTTGTAACAATAGAATAAAAACTTGTACCAACAGAAAAGATAAGTTGTCCTATATCTCCAAAAGGTCCCTATTTAGCGAGACATATACTGCATATATCACTCTGTCTAGTTCACTGTTTGTTACTTATATTTCCCCTATTTACACAAAGCACCGAGAGTTAGCAGAACTTACAATTGAGAAACAGAAACGGTGAAAGAAAGACAGGAAATAGATATATAGCAACAGACGGGGGAGGAGGAGGAGGGGGGAAAAGACAGACGGAGTAAGGGACAGAGACAAAGACAATACTATATTTACAGACAAACAAGAGACAGATATTTAGATAGAAGCAGGCAGAAGGACCGATAGACAGACAAACATAGACAGAAAGATGAATATTAACAGACAGAAAGAAGAAAAACACACACACAGACCGATACATATTTATACGGGTAAACAAAATGAAAAGAGACACTTACCATTACAAGGTTTTACTACAGGGGGGTCGTAGATGAAGGGTGGGTAAACAGTATCGTCTCTAATGCACGTAAGAGACTGAGTGGCCACTTCTCCTTCAGCTCCCATGTTATCCGGACAGGTAAAGTTAACCATTCCTCCCAGGTAACGGTGATCGCCATCTGAGGTGTTGGTGATTAGGTCTGGTGCGTCTATTTCTGGACAAACTGTTGGTGAAGAGAGAGGGAGACATTGTGATGGAGGGTTTGTTGGTGAGAGGGAGAAGGGGATTTTATTGGTAATGAAATGAAGGGGTGGGGATGATGGTGAGAGGGAGAGGGGGTAGGGCTGTTGTTGATGTGGAAGGTGGAGAAGTGTATTTTGGTGAGTGACTGTTAGTGAGAATGAGTGACTGTCAGTGAGAATGAGCAACTGTCAATGAGAATGAGTGACTGTCAGTGAGAATGAGTGACTGTTAGTGAGAATGAGTGACTGTTAGTGAGAATGAGTGACTGTTAGTGAGAATGAGCAACTGTCAATGAGAATGAGTGACTGTTAGTGAGAATGAGTGACTGTTAGTGAGAATGAGTGACTGTCAGTGAGAATGAGCAACTGTCAATGAGAATGAGTGACTGTCAGTGAGAATGAGCAACTGTCAATGAGAATGAGTGACTGTCAGTGAGAATGAGTGACTGTCAATGAGATTGAGTGACTGTCAGTGAGAATGAGCAACTGTCAATGAGAATGAGTGACTGTCAGTGAGAATGACTGTCAGTGAGAATGAGTGACTGTCAGTGAGAATTAGTGACTATCAGTGAGAATGAGTGACTGTCAGTGAGAATGAGTGACTGTCAGTGAGAATGAGTGACTGTCAGTGAGAATTAGTGACTATCAGTGAGAATGAGTGACTGTCAGTGAGAATGAGTGACTTTCAGTGAGAATGAGTGACTCAGTGAGAATGATCACAGTGAGAATGATGACTGTCAGTGAGACTGAGTGACTGTCAGTGAGAATGAGTGACTTTCAGTGAGAATGAGTGACTATGCTAACTGACTTATTTTCATTCCATAGCAACAGAAGCCACCTTTATCATATCTTTCAGTAATATATCAGAGTCAAATTCAACAAACTGCTATAAGAGAGAGAGAGAGAGAGAGAGAGAGAGAGAGAGAGAGAGAGAGAGAGAGCTGACCTTTAACCCGGTAACACTCGCCCACGGGAGGTAACCAGCTACCAAGGAGCCCGAGGCAGTAGACCCGTCGGTACGTCACGGTGATGTTGGCTTCGTAAAAGTATCCCTCCGTACAGCTGTGTTAATAATAATGATACTACTACTACTACTACTACTACTACTACTACTACTACTACTACTACTTCTTCTAATAATAGTAATAATGAAGAAAGGCATAAATCTTGTCTTTTGTGTTCATGAGATTTCGTGATGAAGAATATTATCAACTAAATGTTTCAATATGTAAATTAAGCCTAAAAAGATAAAGAGAATGAACAGAGAGACGTGTTACACAGACCACCTGGTAAATAAAGGAAGGTAAACAATGTAAATGAGACCTACTTGTAAAAGATTTCATTTAACAGATTAGTGTTATTGTCCCACGTCCTGCTCATGTTCAGTGTCGGCTCTGGGGGATCATCGTAGCAACCTGATGTAATTAAAAATATATATATATATATTACCATCAGAGTACATCCAGGTACAGGTATTGTAATTACGTATGTTATTATTATTTTTTATTATTATTATTATTATTATTATTATTATTATTATTATTATTATTATTATTATTATTATTATTATTATTATTATTATTATTATTATTATTATTATTATTATTATTATTATTATTATTATTATTATTATTATTTAATACGGTTAATACAAGAAAAACAAACATCTAACTAGCCATACCCAAAATACATACAGCTCACCTACCCAGTGTGTTAAGCTCACCAGACATAAATGAAGACTACACCAGCAGCCAAGACAGACTCACCAGCAGCCAAGACAGACTCACCAGCAGCCAAGACAGACTCACCAGCAGGAAAGACAGACTCACCAGCAGCCAAGACAGACTCACCAGCAGGGAAGGACCACCAGCAGCCAAGACAGACTCACCAGCAGCCAAGACAGACTCACCAGCAGCCAAGACAGACTCACCAGCAGCCAAGACAGACTCACCAGCAGCCAAGACACACTCACCAGCAGCCAAGACAGACTCACCAGCAGCCAAGACAGACTCACCAGCAGCCAAGACAGACCCACCAGCAGCCAAGACACACTCACCAGCAGCCAAGACAGACCACCAGCAGCCAAGACAGACTCACCAGCAGCCAAGACAGACTCACCAGCAGCCATGACAGACTCACCAACAGCCAAGACAGACTCACCAGCAGCCAAGACAGACTCACCAGCAGCCAAGACAGACTCACCAACAGCCAAGACAGACTCACCAACAGCCAAGACAGACTCCAGCAGCCAAGACAGACTCACAGCAGCCAAGACAGACTCACCAGCAGCCAAGACAGACTCACCAGCAGCAAGACAGACTCACCAGCAGCCAAGACAGACTCACCAGCAGCCAAGACAGACTCACCAGCAGCCAGACAGACTCACCAGCAGCCAAGACAGACTCACCAGCAGCCAAGACAGACTCACCAGCAGCCAAGACAGACTCACCAGCAGCAAGAAGACTACCAGCAGCCAAACAGACTCACCAGCAGCCAAGACAGACTCACCAACAGCCAAGACAGACTCACCAGCAGCCAAGACAGATTCACCAGCAGCCAAGACAGACTCACCAGCAGCCAAGACAGACTCACCAGCAGCCAAGACAGACTCACAGCAGCCAAGACAGACTCACCAGCAGCCAAGACAGACTCACCAGCAGCCAAGACAGACTCAGCAGCAGACAGACTCACCAGCAGGCAAGACAGACTCACCAGCAGCCAAGACAGACTCACCAGCAGGCCCGTACAGCTGACAAAATGCATGTGTGTAGGAGTTAGTGTTTATATCTGCCGCCAGGAACGTGGGTTGAGTGCCGTCGGTGGGGAAGTTGAGAGCTCTCCATGGTGTCGGGCCTACACTCTCCGCCGCTGTCAGTATGTCACCTTCCAACGTATAAATGCCACATAGTCCAATCACCATCTCCCCACCTGTGAGTTGGAGAAGATAAAGGTGAGATGATTTGAGGGGGAGATGGTAGGTTGGGGAAGGTGGTGAAGGGGAGGGAGGTGGTGGTGGGGGGTATGGTGAGGTGGGAGGTGGGGAGGTGGTGAGGTGGAAGTGATGAGGTGAATGGGGAAGTGATGGGTGGGAGGTGGAAGTGAAGGAGGTGGTAGGGTTGAGGTGAGATGGTAGGTGGGGAAGGTGGTGAAGGAGGGAGGTGGTGATGGAAGGGGTAGGTGGTGAGGTGGAAGGTAGTGATGGGGTGGGGTGGTGGGCTGAAGGAGGTGGTAGGGTTGAGGAGGTGGGGAAGGTGGTGTTGGTGTCAGTACCATTCTGTCCACCTCCTCCTGGGTTCTAACACAGTAAGGAAAAATTCTGAGTAGTATTGGGATTTGGAGATGACTGGGAGCAGCTCAGGTGTAACTTCGCCACTAATTATATTATTCATTCTCTGTTTACAAGACTATTATTATGACGTCACATGTTAAGGATAAAGCTTAACAATGAAATATTAAAATTTAAATCTCTCTCTCTCTCTCTCTCTCTCTCTCTCTCTCTCTCTCTCTCTCTCTCTCTCTCTCTCTCTCTCTCTCTCTCTCTCTCTCTCTACGTACGCTTTATTGAGACCGATCAGCACATCTGTGGATGAACTTGCACCTGATCCCTGAAAAGAAAAGAAAAAATCAAAGCCCATCTATCTATTGTATCTATCTATCTAAAGTACTCATATAGCAACCACCCCCAATAGGTACTGACACAACCACCCTCCCCCAATAGGTACTAACACCCAAGTCTAACAACCACCCTCCCAAAGGTACTAACACAACCACCCTCCCCCAATAGGTACTAACACAACCACCCCCCCAATCCCAAGCACAACCACCCTCCCCCAATAGGTACTAACACAACCACCCTCCCCAATAGGTACTAACACACCACCCCCCACTAACACACCACCCCAAAGGCCCCTCTAACACAACCACCCACCCCCAATAGGTACTAACACAACCACCCTCCCCCAATAGGTACTACACAACCACCCTCCCCCAAACACACACCCCCACAACACAACCACCCTCCCCAATAGGTACTAACACAACCACCCACCCCCAATAGGTACTAACACAACCACCCTCCCCCAATGGGTACTAACACAGCCACCCTCCCCAATAGGTACTAACACAACCCACCACCCACCCCCAATAGGTACTAACACAACCACCCCTCCCCAATAGGTACTAACACAACCACCCTCCCCCAATGGTCTAACCCCCCCAATAGGTACTAACACAACCACCCTCCCCAATGGTCTAACCCCTACTAACACCCCCCCCCATGGTCTAACAACCTCCCCAATAGGTACTAACACAACCACCCCCCCAATGGTCACAACCCTCCCCCAATGGTACTAACACAACCACCCTCCCCCAATAGGTACTAACACAACCACCCACCCCAATAGGTACTAACACAACCACCCTCTCCCAATAGGTACCAACACAACCACCCTCCCAATAGGTACTAACACAACCACCCTCCCCCAATAGGTACTAACACAACCACCCTCCCCAATAGGTACTAACACAACCACCCCAATAGGTACCAACACAACCACCCTCCCCCAATAGGTACTAACACAACCACCCTCCCCCAATAGGTACTAACACAACCACCCTCCCACATAGGTACCAACACAACCACTCCCCAATAGGTACTAACACAACCACCCACCCCCAATAAAGGGTACTAACACAACCAACTCCCCCAATAGGTACTAACAACCACCCTCCCCAAATAGGTACTAACACAACCACCCTCTCCCCAATAGGTACTAACACAACCAACCTCCCCAATGGAACACAACCACCTCCCCCAATAGGTACTAACACAACCACCTCCCAATAGGTACTAACACAACCACTCCCCCAATAGGTACTAACACAACCACCCCTCTCCCCAATAGGTACTAACACAACCACCCTCCCCAATAGGTACTAACACAACCACCCTCCCCCAATAGGTACTAACACAACCACCTCCCCCAATAGGTACTACACAACCAACCCTCCCCAATAGGTACTAACACAACCACCCTCCCCCAATAGGTACTAACACAACCACCCTCTCCCATAATAGGTACTAACACAACCACTCTCCCAATAGGTACTAACACAACCACCTCCCCCAATAGGTACTAACACAACCAACCCTCTCCCAATAGGTACTAACACAACCATCTCCCCAATAGGTACTAACACAACCAACCTCCCCAATAGGTACTAACACAACCACCTCCCAATAGGTACTAACACAACCACCTCCCCAATAGGTACTAACACAACCACCTTCCCAATAGGTACTAACACAACCAACTCTCCCCAATAGGTACTAACACAACCACCCCTCCCCCAATAGGTACTAACACAACCACCCTCCCCAATAGGTACAACACAACCACTCCCCAATAGGTACTAACACAACCACCTCCCCAATAGGTACTAACACAACCAACTCTCCCCAATAGGTACTAACACAACCAATCTCTCCCAATAGGTACCAACACAACCACCCTCCCCGGCACCCCCCAATGGTCAACACAACCCCCCCGTACTAACACAACCCCCCAGGTACAACACACCACCCCCAATAGGTACTAACACAACCACCCCTCTCCCCAATAGGTACTAACACAACCACCCTCCCCCAACAGGTACTAACACAACCACCTCTCCCAATAGGTACTAACACAACCACCTCCCCCAATAAGTACTAACACAACCACCTCCCCCAATAGGTACTAACACAACCACCCTCCCCCAATAGGTACTAACACAACCACCCTCCCCCAATAGGTACTAACACAACCACCCTCCCAATAGGTACTAACACAACCACCCTCCCCAATAGGTACTAACACAACCACCCTCCCCCAATAGGTACTAACACAACCACCCTCCCCCATAGGTACTAACACAACCACCCTCCCCAATAGGTACTAACACAACCACCCCCTCCCCCAATAGGTACTAACACAACCACCCCTCCCAATAGGTACTAACACAACCACCCCCTCCCAATAGGTACCAACACAACCACCCTCCCCATAGGTACAACACAACCACCCCTCTCCCCAATAGGTACTAACACAACCACCCCTCCCCAAGTACCAACACAACCACCCTCCCAATAGGTACTAACACAACCACCCTCCCCCAATAGGTACTAACACAACCACCTCCCCCACAGGTACTAACACAACCACCCTCCCCCAATAGGTACCAACACAACCACCCTCCCACAGGTACCACAACCACCCTCCCCACAGGTACTAACACAACCACCCTCCCCCAATAGGTACTAACACAACCACCCCCCCATAGGTACTAACACAACCACCCTCCCCAATAGGTACCTCAACACAACCACCCCTCCCAATAGGTACCAACACAACCACCCTCCTCCACAGGTACCAACACAACCACCCCTCCCCAATAGGTACTAACACAACCACCCTCCCCCAATAGGTACTAACACAACCACCCTCCCCAATAGGTACTAACACAACCACCCTCCCCCATAGGTACTAACACAACCACCCTCCCATAGGCCAACACAACCACCCTCCCCCATAGGTACTAACACAACCACCCTCCCCCAATAGGTACTAACACAACCACCCCTCCAATAGGTACTAACACAACCACCCTCCCCCATAGGTACCAACACAACCACCCTCCCCACAGGGTACTAACACAACCACCCTCTCCCAATAGGTACTAACACAACCACCCCTCCCACAGGTACTAACACAACCACCCTCCCCCAATAGGTACTAACACAACCACCCTCCCCCAATAGGTACTAACACAACCACCCTCCCCACATAGGTACCAACACAACCACCCCCCACAGGTACTAACACAACCACCCTCCCCAATAGGTACTAACACACCACCCTCCCCCATAGGTACTAACACAACCACCCTCCAATAATAGGTACTAACACAACCACCCACCCCCAATAGTACTAACACAACCACCCTCCCCCACAGGGTACTAACACAACCACCCTCCCCCAATAGGTACTAACACAACCACCCTCCCCCAATAGGTACTAACACAACCACCCTCCCCCAATAGGTACTAACACAACCACCCCCACAGGTACTAACACAACCACCCTCCCCACAGGTACTAACACAACCACCCTCCAATAGGTACTAACACAACCACCCTCCCAATAGGTACTAACACAACCAATCTCCACAGGTACTAACACAACCAACCCTCCCCAATAGGTACTAACACAACCACCCTCCCCCAATAGGTACCAACACAACCACCCTCCCCAATAGGTACTAACACAACCACCCTCCCACAGGTACTAACACAACCACCCCCAATAGGTACTAACACAACCACCCCTCCCCAATAGGTACTAACACAACCACCCTCCCCCACAGGTACTAACACAACCACCCCTCCCAATAGGTACTAACACAACCACCCTCCCCACAGGTACTAACACAACCACCCCTCCAATAGGTACTAACACAACCACCCTCCCCCAATAGGTACTCAACACAACCACCCTCCAATAGGTACTAACACAACCACCCTCCCCCAAGTAACACAACCACCCTCCAATAGGTACTAACACAACCACCCTCCCCCATAGGTACCTAACACAACCACCCTCCCCAATAGGTACTAACACAACCACCCTCCCCCAATAGGTAACACAACCACCCTCCCCATAGGTACTAACACAACCACCCTCCCCAATAAAATGCACAACCACCCTCTCCCAATAGGTACTAACACAACCACCCACCTCCAATAGGTACTAACACAACCACCCTCCCCAATAGTACTAACACAAC